CTGCGCCCCTGTTCCCTTGTTTAAAAAATCCCTGAATGTATGACAACTTGACACTTCCCTCAAAAAATCCTACACAGAATTAAACTGCAATGGTGAACCTTCCTTCTGTTTAGTTATCACTGTCTTCCCTTTCCAGTCTGGTTTGTTTGTTCAAACAAAATGTCAACCAAAGTAAGATTGAAACACAATTTTTTTTCTTGGCCGATGTCACAGGTATACGTTGATTTTAAACAGCAATGGTATTTCTTTTAAGTTATGTGTTAATGTTCTCATTGTTTTAATTTGTATATTAAAATTGACAAGGACAATAGAATGATGGTCTGTTGGTTGACATCCTGTGTGCATCACAAACAATATAATGGTGCTGGCTGGCAACCTTTTGTTCTTATCGGTTATTCTTAGCATGGAAGTTCTTAGTGACATACATGTAGGCTGACCTGGGCTGACCACAGCGCAGATCCCTCATTAAATGTAAAATTTTGGAAAGCTAATATTAATAGTACAAACAATAAATTACAAAAATTAGCCAAATAATTAGGTATTTATATTTATATTATATTGAAGGTTAGTGTTTTTGTGGTAAAGATCGTAGACATTGCACTAATAATGGACTGTTAGCAATATTTAGTCTACAGTCTTCCCATTTCGAAAATATTTGAATTGTTTTATTTTTTTATGGAATTCTAGGTTTATTTAATGTCTAATTTTGATTTCTGCAATTTGTTTAAATCTACTCAAAAAATTAATTGCTTGGATATCTTTGCTTACTCGTATCACACAGACAAATTAGAGGGTACCGTAAAAGCTCAATCAATTCGGCCACTCAAATAGTTCGGCCACCTATTTTTTGTGTCATGGTTAATTTTAAAATGTATCCGTTAAGTTCGGCCATCTGTCCAGTCAGTCTATTGTTTGTATTCAATTAGTTCGCCCGGTGATGACACCGCGCGGTTTTACGTCACTCTCTCAACAAAGGTATATTTTCACACATCTATCACGTAAATACAATGTACATGTATAAGCATTTACATCCATGGTATGAGCATGGAGCTAAAAAAAGAAGGAGAGAGGACGCAATATAAGCCAATAAACTCCCTTTGTTTCACGCCCAGATTATCCAATTAAACCCATTGAATTTCGTTCTATGGAAATCCACGATAGCTGGTGTATGTTTGCACAGTGAGATGTGCCGTAGTCCTGTATTTCAAGTGAGATGTACGCCCCTCTCATAAAATTGAATGCGCAGTTAACAAATAAGGTCACTGCGTATGCGCAGTGGCGTGTGATTGGTACATTAGGTCATTCTGCGTATTTGAAGACCGGAAGCACAACAGTCGGACGATTATTCAAGAATTGGCGTCAATTTACAACATTTTTGTGCTCCGTGAGTTGACGATTTTCGAGGCTTGATTACCAAATTTTCCACAAACATTTGCAAAACAGTTCAACTTGATTTATTATCGTTGTGAAGTTGGCTTTTAGACTCTATTTTCATTTTCTGCGAGCGACGTCCAGCAATCAGTAAAGATCGCATTTCATATGTCGATGGTTCGCCGCTAGGTTGGAAGATTACTGTACCTGTTTGTTACTGTGCGCAGCCATGCGCAGTCAACTCTAATCGCGCTCTCCGTTCCAGAGGCCTTTGCACACAGTGTGCCGGCGAATACCGAATGCGTTCCGAATATACATGAATCACGTAATCCAATTAGAAGGGATTAAACAGACAACAGGGAAGAGATTGTTTATCTTTTGGCTAAGCAAACAAGAACCAACTAACGTGGTACACAGGAAAGACAATAGGGTCCTCTCTCCTTCTTTTTTTAGCTCCATGGTATGAGCAATCGGGATATCCGCCAGATGTGCAGTCATGGTGTCAACCGTGGTTGTACATAAGACGTGTGAAATCTCTAGTACGTCCATGGTGAAATATACTCTGTTGATTGTCATTACAAATTACCCAGTACATCAGTTGTAAATAATCGCTAAGAAAATTCTCATCACGACGCCAAAAATATCGACAACGAACAAATATTTTAAGTCATTGCTAGCAATCACTGACGAAACGAAGCTCCATGGTTTAGGGACAACAAAATTCAGGCCGACACTTGACTCTCGTCTTTGGAATTTCAAGCAAGTCATACAAAGTCGCAAATGTGTTACGTGAAAGCGTCATTATTATTGGACGTAGTTTTGTTTACACAGTCACACAGCACGTCAAAATATCTTCTTTTTTTCGGTTGAC